ACGGAACGCTGTGAGCTTCCCACTGGAGGGGGGGGGTTTTTTTTTTTTTTTTTTTTTTTTTTTTTTTTTTTTTTTTTTTTTGGGTGGGGGGGGGGGGGGGGATATTATTTTCTTGTGTGGCTGACACAACATCAAAAATAAAATAAACATGAATTGCAGCTCTTTAAACCCGGGATTGCATTTAGCTCCCCCCGGATCAGCTGTTAGACTGGACAGCTATCGGTTAAGGAGTGAAACTGACCAGAAGCAGGAGGGAGGCTTCCCTTTCCTTCCCCAGCTTCCCTGCTGCTGTTGGGCTAGGCATACTGAAGGTGGGTGGCATCCTCAGGTGGGGAGGGCAGGGCTTGTGGTTGGGAGGGCGGTCAGTTTCACTCCTTGACCTATGTCTAACAGCTGATCCCAGGGGAGTGAAATTGACCAAAACGCAGGGCAGCTTTCCTTTCTATCCCCAGCCCCCTGCAGCAGCTGGGAGGGAGCTGTCCTGCGTCTTCTGGTCAATTTCACTCCCCTCTGCTTCCTGGTTAACCCAAACAGCTGATCTGCAGGGAGTGAAACTGACCAGAAGCAGGAGGGAGGCTTCCCTTTCCTTCCCCAGCTTCCCTGCTGCTGTTGGGCTAGGCATACTGGGGGTGGGGCATCCTCAGGGGGGGGGGGCAGGGCTCGTGGTTGGGAGGGCTCTGCCTCCCCCCAAAATGCCCCACTGTGGCTACGGGCCAGGTGGGCAGAAAGACGCCACCCCACTGCCTGGCACAGTCATGCAGCTAAGCAGCAGCTGCTGGTTACTCCGGTTGGGGGCGAGGGGCGTCCTCCCCCCCCCGCGGACTCCACACAAGAGATTCCGTCCAGATGCATGCTCCGAGCGCAACGCAAACAACCTCTCTGGCTGCACCTCCACTCACCGAGCACCGGCCAATGCGCCCGTATTTCCTGCCGCCCTCCGACACGGCGTAGATGTAGACGAAATTGTCGTGGGACCCCAGGGCCAAGTATCTGCCATCTGCGAGGCACAAAGGCAGAGTCAGGCATCAGGAGGGGGGACACCGCTGCCGAGCCGGGGTTAGAGTGTCAGACTAGGGTCTGGGAGAACCAGGTTCAAATCCCCCCTACGCCAGTCACACACACTCGCGGCCTAGCCTACCTTGCAGGGTTGTTGTGAGGACAGAATGGAGGAGAGGAAGAAGATAGACGTTTTATAAATGAATAAACAGTGGTAGGGGTCTCAGAGGAAGGGGCTTGGAGGCGGCGGCAGCAGCTTCTCAGTTTTCAGTCCCACTGCCTTTGATCTTTGGCGCCCGCTTGCTAGGAGGAGACAGGCCTGCAGTGGCTCCTGTGAGTCTTGCAGCCATCAGGAAGGGAGGGACATGACTGGTCCTACAAGCCCTCCTGCTTGCAACATTAGTTTAGTTTTTTTTCGGTATGTAACCAGCACATATCAGTCAGAAAGCCCTCCTTTTCTGAAATATTTCAAACCCCGGTGCTCCTCTTCCAGGCCGAAGCCTCTTACAAAAATCCCACCGGAATCACCATCCATTCAGATCCTTTAAGTCCCAAACGGCCACCGAGATCCCACTGAGTCCTCCAGCCCCGTTTCCTCCCACCCGCCCCATCCTGCCTGTTTGGGACTGCCTCTCGAGGCCTCGCCCCTCCTACCTGGGGAGAAGCTGACCACGGAGATCTGCTCCCCTCCGTCGGTGTGGATGGTCACCAGGTCTCGGGTCTCCGTGTCCAGGACCAGCCACCTGGGGGGGGGAGTGACATGGCAGGGCAGGGGGAGAGACACACAAGAGAAAGAAGAAGAAGAGGTTGGATTTTATACCCCGCCCTTCGCGGAGTCTCAGAGCGGCTTACAAACTCCTTTCCCTCCCCCTCCCCACAACAGACACCCTGGGAGGTAGGTGGGGCTGAGAGAGCTCTTTCGAGGACTGCCCTTGAGAGAACAGCTCTTAGAGAACCTGTGACTGACCCAAGGCCACACCGGCAGCTGCCTGTGGAGGAGGAGGGGGGGGTCAAGCCCGCTTCTCCCACATTAGAGTCCGCGCACTTCACCACTACACCAAAGCCAAGATGACCCCCTTGGCTGGGGCAGGATGGAAAGGGGGAAGGCCGAGGCCCGGGTAGAAGACGGCTCTCTTTCTAGCCCCCCCTGTCTGTAAAACCGGTCTGGCCCTCTTGTGCTGGGGAGCTATGCTGCAAAAGGAGAGCAACCGCCGGCTCTCCGCCCTTCTTCCCTCCACCATACAAGGACCACGCGCTCTGCACAGTGCCCAGGCCGCCAGCTTACCTGCCAGTCACAGTGCCGACCACCAGCACGGAGCCACTCGGGTGGAAGCCGGCCGAGCGAGCAGCATCCTGACGGGAGAGGGAAACAGGTGGGCATAACACGGCCCCTGACCAGCGAGCCAGGTGACGCTTCCAGCCACGCTGGGACGGCAAGAACTGGTTCCGCCCCCAGCTTACACACACACACACACACCCCGTTCCCTGCCCCGACCGATAAACCCCTCTGGCTCACCTCAATCCCCTTGCTCCACAGGGGCTGGTGAGTGGCCACGCTCCACAGGTGGACCTGCTTGTCTTGCCCACAGGTCACGAACTGGTCCAGGCAAGGGTGGGTGGCCAGGCCCCAGAGCTCCTCGGTATGTCCCTGGCCAAAGGGAGACAAGGCAGGTGGTCTGGAGGCATTTGGGCCCCCTGGCCAAGCGGGGGTGCCATTCAAGCGCCAGGTGCCCGTCCCACCCCGCAGCCTGGAAGCGCGTCGCCACCATCGCCTCTGCCACAGGCCAGTTACCTGCACCAGCAGAGAGAAGCCGGTCGCCAGGGACCCCTGGAGCACCGAGTTCCGGGTGGTGCCCACAAAAAGGGAGTCGCCCTTTCCTTCCGCGATGGTGCGCACCGGCCCAAAACCCTCGGGCACCTGCCGGGCGAGAGGGGAAAAGAGGAGCTCAGGGGAGAGCCAGTGCGGTTATAGCATTGATTTGCATCTGGCACATGGTTTGAAGCTGTGGCTTGCATCAGCGAGGTGCACGGAGGGAGGAAAAAAGAAACAGGCAGCATTTGGCGATCCAAAAAGCAGTAAATTTGGACAGTCATACCAACATCAGGAGAGCTTTGCTGGATCTGAGCAGTGGTCCATCTGGTCCAGCGTCCTGTCTCGCACAGGGGCCAGCCAGTTCCTCTGGAGGGCCAAGAACAGGGCAGAGAGGCTGAGGCCTTCCCCTGATAAGGACATCAGAAGAGCCCTGCTGGGTCAGACCAGGGAGGGTCCCTCCAGTCCAGCCTCCCGTCTCACACAGGGGCCAACCAGTTCCTCCGGAGGGCCAGCAACAGGGCAGAGAGGCCGAGGCCTTCCCCTGAGAAGGACACCAGAAGAGCCCTGCTGGGTCAGACCAGGGAGGGTCCATCTAGTCCAGCATCCCGTCTCACACAGGAGCCAACCAGTTCCTCTGGAGGGCCAACAACAGGGCAGAGAGGCCGAGGCCTTCATAAGAACATTAAAAGAGTTCAGCTGAGTCAGACCAGTAGTCCATCTAGTCCAGCCTCCTGTCAGGCCACGAGGAGCAAGAAGCAACCACGTAAGTTGCAGAGCCCCCCCCCCGCCCGCATTCAGGTACAAGCTCTCCCTCCTCGGCGAGGGCAGATCTGTGTGTCCCCCCACCCCATAGCTAGCAATCGAAAACAGTCCAGTGGAGCCTGAGCTGTGGGTGTTGCCTCCTGACACATTTCCGGCAATGTCAGGGGGTGTGGCATATGCAGATAAGTTATGCTAATAAGTTATTCTAATGAGCTCCTGCACCTCTTTTTCCACGAAATGACTCCTGGTTGTTAGTATGAAACAGACATGCTGCTTGATCCGAAAGGCTTACGCAGAAAGGACATCCAACTGAATTCAGTGGGGGCTTACTCTCAAATTGCAACCTGATGCTAGGATGAAGCGTTAGACAAAACCCTCGCTGAACGAAAATGTTTGACCTTTCAAAAAGACCTAAACACAACTGCAAAGATTAAACGAGTCCAGGGATGACGACTCTTTCAGAGGGCACGTCCCCCTGGCTTCTTGCCAACCGCCAGGTGCAACGGGGTGCCCTCACGCGCCATCTGGGAACCTCCCGATATCTGGCCAGCTACCAGCCCCAGGTGAGAAAGCTGGGCTCCTGATTCATGGTTCCTGTCACTGTTTGTCTGAAACTGGCTCCACAGCCGTCAAGCCCCCAAGGCCAATGGAAACTAAAATAGTTGGTGGGGAGAGCAGTCGCAGAGGGCCCCAATCCGGCCATGCCAGACAGGTGCCCAGCTGCTTCCTGCTCTACTCCCATCTCCCTTCCGGAGCCGTGGCCCGTGACCGGCACCCAGCCGTCCAGCCTTGCAGTTCGACATGTATCCCCCAGATCGGCGCCTCTGACTGGGTGACAGAGGGCAGCTTCAGCCCCCGCATCTCCCATTTAGAAAGGACCAGGTGGTAGGTGATGGGAAAGCTGAGACCCTGGAAAGCTGTAAAGAGGGGCCGTGGCTCAGTGGCAGAGCCTCTGCTTGGCATGCAGAAGGTCCCAGGTTCATTCCCCGGCATCTCCAGTTAAAAAGGACCAGGCAGGAGGTGATGGGAAAGACCTC